CGGGCCAAGGGCAGGGTGGGATTTGGGGATAACAAAACAATAGAGCTGTGCTTCCACCCCCCTCCCCTCCCCAGCCCGGGCTTGTGTGAATTAAGCTAAATTGCAAATTAAGCTAATTTCTCCGAATCAGACCAAACCGTATGGAAAGGGGGAAGAGGTGCCGACGCTGGGTGGTCGGAAACCCACATCTGCTGGGGACTCTCGGGCTAGCTGGCTGGGAGAGCTGCAGGCACAGCGGGCTGGGCGTTTTAATAGCAGGCCAGGGGCATAAAAGCGCCTGGCCGGTGCCTGAGCAGCGAGCCTCTCACTCGTTTGCTCCTTTTCTGCACCTTCTTGTCGAGGAGCGTCCGATATCGGCCGGGCGATTTTGGGGGTCACGAAGCCGCCCGGGGCAGGGCAGCAGAGGGAGCGGCGGGCTCCTCGCCAGCGCTGCGGTGCCCGGTACCGAGCCCGGCCCCACGCGTCCCCCGCTCCGTGCAGCAGCGCCGGGTCCTCCCTTCTACTTTATAGTTTTCATTAAAGCAAACAATCAGACCCGCAAAAGCACCCCAAGGGCACCCCGTCCCTTGCACCTGAGGCGCAGCCCTGGCCGGGCAGTGCCCCCGACGGCTTTCCTCCCCGGCAGCTCCTACACTCCCGGGGGTGCGCGGCCGGGGGTCAGGGGCTGCAGGGTGCCTCTCCTTCCTCCTCCCGCCCGGCTGCCTACCACATCGCTCAACCGCCCGGTGCACGGCTTGAAAAGTCGAGACGCGTTTGAATTTATAGAGTGCATGATGTCATTGACCCGGGACCAAACGTATCGGGAAGGGGTATCGTTCTCGGATGGATTTGGGGACGCCGAAGCAGCCCGTGTCCCAGGGATGCGACGCATCCTATCCCTGGGCCATCGCTTAGGAGTTCGCAGAAGAACGTAAACCTGCAAGAAAACGGATTTTTGTAAAGAAGCACCGGAGAAATATCATTTGAAGGTCAACCTGTCAGTGCGGGTTAATGAAAAGGACTTGTGCCTAATGGGCCTACTTATACCCTCCGTTACGCTCACACAACCTGGATTTCAACGTCCAGGGCAGAGGGCGGAATCGGGCCCAGCAGGCCCGAATTAATTGCTGCCACTGGAGGTGGAGGAACCCTGGTTTACGTTACTATTATCGGTAACGAACGCCCACATATTTCAGGCATGATAATCTCGCAGCCTTTGTGTATACAAAGAAAAAAAAAAAAGAAAGAGCAGGGGCGAGAAAAACCCACGACACTGACCATTTTGTAAGTCGCAATGATTGGCGGTAAGCGCGGGACCCTGCGCGTTTTACCACTGCATGTGTAAGCAATTATTCGAGGATTGCTTATATTTGTGACCGAGGATCCAGAGTTGCATTTAGACCCTAGACAGGAATCAGAGAAAGAAAAGAAAAACACAACGAACTCCAACCAAGACGCCTTCTTTGTCAGAAGAACAATAATAAAGACCTTACAAAATGCTGCAGTGAACGCACAGTGTGTCTCTATTTATCGGGTTTGTCACACACGTATCCTATACATACACATGTATAAACACGCACATGTATGTATGCAGACAGGCAGATGTTTCTGTCACGTAATGTTGTTTGCATTCCTGGGAAAGAGCATCTTACGCCGCTCTTGAGCTCGGCGCTGATGAAATAGCTCGCGAATCTAATTGCCTTAATTAATAAATATTTTGTCCTCCAGCATCTGAAGTTCAGGCGTTGGAGGAAGCAGAGGTTAGGCTGGCATCGCTTTGGGTTTAGGTTGACAAAAATCAACACTTCTATTGTCATTCTTCATGGAAAGTCTCCATTTAACAAGGCTGAGGTTTAAGCAGCGTTCATAGATCAAAGGCAACCTCGCTTGGCTTAAAAAAAAAAAAAAAAAGAATCCGCGGGAGCAGTGACAATTAACTGCAATTTCGCCCTAACTGCACGCCCCAAAATGTCGGTGTCGTCCTGCCGGTGCCCCCCGCGCCGTGTACCTGCTGCACCGCACCCCGCTCCCGCTTGCCCGGGACCGGCTGAAGCACACGGGCTCGTCTTAAAACTCAGCAGCTGACTCCTGCAAATGTCGGCTGCACACTTGCTAGAAGCATCAGCCTGGACCGCAATTCCTATATGCGTATCTCGGTGTAATTGATCTGGCTGAGTGAGGTCTTTTTGGTAATTTGGATACACCAAGTCTCCAGTTAATGACATATAATCAGCCTTTAGGTCACTTGGTCATTCTCTTATTACAAACCCCTCCTGCTCTCTCTGATCTCCTTTCAAACTAAATTTCACACAAACAAATAAAGCAAGACAGGGACAAGTCCTTAAAATACAAGAGGGAAATATTCGAGAATTGCTCGTGGGGAACTATAAACATTTTTAAAAGAAAAAACGAAAAGATAGGAAAGAACATCTTATCGAGAAAGAGAGCATTGTGTACAAAACACGGAGGGAAAAACGGTCTGGCTTCTGTTAAAAATGACATAAAATTAAAATAAAAATAATTACAAACAGAAATGGCATAACATAAACAGAAGGCAGGAGGCTTTACTAGAAACGCGCGGCCGTACTGTAATTTGTTCTTACAGATGATACAACCTATCCGTGGATACGCAAAATCTTTATTTGCTTCACTTTAGCAGGAAAAAAAAACAACCAAATTGTCTTTTCTGTTCAGGAAAGTAACCGAAGAAGCCGGGAAACGGAGAACTGAGTGTCATGTACCTCCTCAGACCTGCAGGGAAACGGAGCCGTGGCCAAAACGTTGGGTGTAAATGCGACAACAAAAATAAATATTTTACATCACCGTGCAGAACATATTTTACTAAGTCAACACTTTGTTTTTCTGCTTTTCATTTTTCTTCCCTCTAAGAAGAGACAATGCTCCCTTTTTATTAGGTATTCCCTAAAAGATTATTTTGATCTCCGTCCAGGTATATATATACATACACACACACATATACCTATACACGTTCAACAGAAACGCTGACGGTGATGTATGTGCAGAAGATGGTGCGGTGGCCGGGGAGAGGAGGGAGCAGACATGCCCTGGGTAAGATCCGAGGGCCCTGCAGGCTGCAGGCAGCTCGTTGCGAAAGCGAGCCCCGTTTTTCGGAACTAAAGCTGATCGATAAAATCGAGAGCGGGGGAATTTCAATATCGTTCAAGCGTCAGCGCTTCGAGGAAGACACCTGAAAGAGGACTGCAATCCACGCTCCCTTACAGGCATTAGCACCTTCCAAAGTATTATCAACACGCGTTTTACCAAAGATCTCATTTGTATTTAATACGGGATTCAGGCGCTAACTGAGCATGTAAGCGTCTGTGAGGTTGCGAGAACGACTGCCGGGGCAGGCTCGCACAGCAAGAGAAAACGGAGCAAGGAATACATGGAAGAGAGTGTCACAAGGCCCCAGCGCAGGGCATATTAATGTGACACATCTTGTTACTTGTTCACTACATTCCCGGTCTTTTCCGCATTTCTAAGGGCCCCTTTTTTTTCCGCCCGGCCTTGAGCTGCTGGGTTGAAGCATTACCCCGTAGCCACCCGACGATCCGACCCAGTA